ACCTACTACCTACTACCTACTACTACTGCTGCTACTACTGCTACTACTACTACCATCACCACTACCTACAGTGGGGGGGGGGGGAGGCGTCAGGCTGTCGAAAAATCCGCGCGGAGAGACAAACCGTAGATTGAAACCAGCACAAGCAATACTAACCAAAACAATCCACAAAACACGCCGGCAGGCCGGCGGAGTTGTTCAGCCTTTTTATTTTTAGTTTGCTGATGTTTCTCGTCGTTTCGAGCAGGTTCGAGCGCTTTTCAGATGCTTTTCGCCAGGAAGGCATCAAGTTCCTCCAGACGTGCCTTGGAGATTTTCCCGGTTTTGGGTCCTCACTCATACAAAACTGCTGGTCCAGTCTAGTGTGGTTTGGTCTTAATTTTATTCAGAGTATTTTCCTGGACTTTTCAATCCAGGTGCTCCAGCCTCTAGACAACTGGATCCATGACCATCAAGGACCTATCTTGCAAAACTAGATGCTCACTTCAAGGGTCATGTACCCGGCTATAGTCTCGGCCTTGCCTGGACCAGTTCTTGTACTATAGTTACATACCTCGGACACTCCATGGGGCATATTAACTGTTGACCCCCGCGTCGACCACCCCCTATTCTGCCAGTCGTCCCAGTGTCCAGCCTCTCCCAATCGCCTCAGCTCCACCTTCTCTCCGAGGGCTCTCGCCGGTCTGGATCCCGACATCGTGCTGTGCTACTCTCAATCTGGCACGATGCTGGCCATGTACATGGACGTCATGCGAAAGGACCGGCTCGCACCGCGGCGGTGACAAACCGAAGGTTTGGTCTCAACATGAGTCGGCGGGGAAACGGAATCCGCTGGTGGTTGCAGAAGGAGTTCCAAGTTCAAGAACTGTTTCGGAAGCTGAGATGTGATGATCCAAACCCACCGGGGTGGTTGAAGTTGTGCTGTTGGAGAGCCGGGAAGTGTTTCAAAACTGGGGCTGTCGTCAGTGTATTCTGGCTGGTTCTATAGATGGATCCTCAGCACCGGCCATTGGGTTCTATAGAGATCACCATCTCTGCTATGACATGATGTTTCTTTTGGATATTTACCGACATTGTGGCTCAGCAAGCTCGCTGGTTTAGACAACGCTGATCCAGACACGCCTCCTTGTTTCGCCCGTTTTTCTCTCCTGGGTCTCGTGGGGGGGTCGCAGTGCGACGAAACGGCGGCGGTGCATGCGACGCATGCAGCGGTGCAGAGGTGTCCACGCCAGTGCCTTGGCGCTTGGGTGTCTTTTTCTGCGGCGCCATGATCGATGATCCACGCTACCAGCTCAGAGAGCCATTGCCATTGCCGGCCGTGTGCCCCTGCGAACAGATGTCCTTTGATAACGGGGGCCGGGCGGGTGGTGGGCTGGTTGGTTGGTCAGTTAGTGGCTGTTGAATTCCGTGGTTATGAGGCTCAACTTCGATGTAACCGGAGCCTCAAAGTACTCCACACTGAGTTCTCATGGCTGGTGGATGGTCATGTCATGTCATGTCATGTCATGTCCAATTCTCCACACTATTAATGATTGTTTAAAGAAATCGAATTCATCCCCTTTCACTCCCATCGCCTGTTCCGATGCAAAGGACATGACGATGACCCAGACACGACGGGGCATGGGACACAACGACGACTTCCGCATCAAGCGTCACCTCGGGTCAGGCACCCTAACTGATCGGTACATCTACCCTGGGAGTCCAAGCACCATTGATTTATATCATAGACTTTACCCCCGCTGCAATAGTGGAAGGGTCCGTGAGAAGCGTGACACCGCCCGCAACAGAGAGACCAAACAACCCTTGTTTTACTAAGGAGTTTACGACTACAAAACCAGGTAAACAGTTCTTTTAGTGGTCTTCGGGGGGTTGTGTTATGTGGCGGTGGTGTTATGTGGACACCTCATGGGTGTTTGTATGGGGTTTTACGAAGCTTTGTTGTTGGAGTGATATGTGCAGTGTTTTGTGCAATGAGGTCCAAGCTCTTTTCCTTGCCCAGTAACCTACTCAAGGATTCTTTGACCCCTTCCGGGCCAGAAGCCTCAGCTTGGTTTCATTCGCAGGAATAGATGTGCGAAGCCATCAGTGATAGACATAATTCCACAGGTGACCATTGACCTTTCCTGTCATCAACTTTTTAACTGCTGGGACAATGATGGGCTGCGGTTGGTGAAACTGCAAATCAAGTCAGAAGCAAGCCACACCACCGAAAAAGAAAAGAACACGTGTAATAGACAGTCATGGGTCATGGGACTTTAACTGTGTAGCATCAAGTGCGTATTGCCACTGGTCACGAGAGAGTCATCCTGGCGGGTGGAATGGCGGGTGGTTCATGCACCTCTGCCGTCGCTAGTTGTGGAATCGGAGCTGCACTTGTTTCTTTCAAAGGAAGCCCCCACTCACGCGATTGACGAGTGTGGCACTGCGGCGGTGACGCTTTGCGGGTTGGTGCCACGAGGTATATCCATGGTGGGGACGCAGACCCCTGGGGTCGACACGGGGAGAAGATGCTGCCAAAGATGTACAAAGACTGGCGCATGCTGCTCAGATTCATTTTGGAATCGTTCCGTTCCCCACATCATGCCCGTTCTGGCCATGGATGTTTGAATTTTGAAACCTGCTGGTCAACATCGATCTAAACTAAACTATTCATGGGGGTTACATTGAACCCAAGGTTCGTACTGACTGGAAAGTGGTGGTGAAGGCGGTTTCCTTATGATCGACTTCCTCAGAGGCAGTTCCATGATTTGCACATAAGGAACACCTCTGTTCTGGACAGCTCCGATGTTCTTTGGAGCACTAACCATGTATGGCATATGTATACCTACGTTGACCCCCCAAACCACCTCCATGTATGTAAATATGCCAGTCCCATTGAGTGTTTGGGTATATATATATAGGTCCACCATGGTCCACGGGTGTAGCCAGCCACGGGTCGACTTGTGTCTCTCTCCACCTGCTGGAGGTTTGAGCACAGCAGTGGGCATGTCATTCCAAATGGCGTGGAGGGATCGGAGATCTTCCAGCAGGTGATTCTCAGGATGCCTCTTGGCGAACCCAGTGCTGGGCACCTTTGCTTCACAAAAGAAACTACATCGCAAGGGAGCCAAGAACAACGCAGCAGGATTTTAATCACCCATGCAGGTCTTGGGAACAATCACTTGGGATCACAATGCTTGCCCCAAGGAGGCTGGTCTAGCGAATTTGAACAGGACTTGAAACAATTTTGGTTAACACGACTTCAGCTTTCTGGTTACTGGCCGAGCTTTTTGCGGGCAAGACAGATGCATCTCTTCCCAACAACCAGCCACTCCAGCCACCACAATCGGTCGAGTGCCAGGGGCTTTGGGTCTCTTGCAGCTGTTGGATGCGTTGCTCCATCGGTCGGCTCAGGAATCGGTGTGTCCCCACAGGTGCCATGTCCACCCGTATCTCTCCGTCGGCCTGTGGTCTTTCTCAGCTCATTTTGGCGAGACATCGCATGCTAAGGTATGCAGAATGCCAAGACCTCATTGGCCCCAAAGCGGGCCAACAGCAGTCGTCCTAGCGCCCGAAAAAAGGTGAGTCAGGGACTGAACCGCGTTCATGAGTCCTGCATGTCTGGAACTTGAGGATGTTTCAGGATAGTGGTCTAAGATAGTCTGAGGGTCTGGTAAGGTAGTCCAGCCAGGACACCCTGGTGTGAGGATCCTGGATCCTACCGGCTCGTGCCGTGGGGTTTTCACCATGTCCCCTCTGACGGGACCGAGCACGATGTAGGAGAGCATCGCCAAGTCCAAGGGCTACAAGGCCAAGAGAGATGCAGCAAAGTCTGTCTGCACTGCCCGTGCGTTTCCGCCGTTTTTCCGAGTCCGGTAGTGGCACAGCCCAGGCCATGTGCAGAGTTGCCTATTACTGGATGTTCAGTTTTTGTTCACTGACGTTGGGAAGTGAAAGGCAACATGTTTCTTGCCGTTCAAAGGATATGACGCCGAGTCTTGAAAGAGCTCACAGAGTTGTTTAAATCTATATAAATTTGGATATGATTGGTGCTAGTTTGAATCCGGCCACTTGGAATACATTGAGACTCCCTTTCGGGGGCCATATTTCTAGAAGCACCCAGGGCAAACCAAGCACATCCAAGCACCAATCATCAGTGAAGGGCAAAGCAAACCTATTTATCTTTACATATATATTACCTGACATAATCATGGAAGTGGTGTTCACCACCTGTTTGGCATTTGGATAACTCAGGTTCATCCTTTCGAGGTCATCCACTCTATCGACGGGAAGTTTCGAGGCAGTGTCAATGGTGTAGATCAACACACTTAGTTTGTGTTCCTCAACATCACAGGACAGGTACAGTCCAACCGAGGTTGAAGGACCCGAACTAGACTATCCCAGTTGGGTACCCCAGAAGGGTTAAGGTCACTTGACCTCTCTTGGGTGGTTGAAAAGAGTGATCACACCATGATCCCTAATGCAACTGCGGTGGTAGCAGGTTCTGTGGACACACGAAGTTCCCCAGAAACGAAAGGAGCGGACGAAGTCTCCTTTTTCGCGGCCGATGCTGAGCTCTCGAGTACCCGCCCTCTGCAGGTGAAAGGATTCGGAAAACATGGGTTGACAGCTGATCCTCAAGTACATGGAGTGTACTTTACACTCTGAGGAAGGGAAAAACGAGAAAAGCTCAGCTGTCATCAGGCAGAACCAGCCCTGCCGACTGCATCTCTGTCGGCCATGGACCCGGCCAACCGTGCATCCACTGGAAAACGTGGTACTGGTTGTTGGTGCGATCCTCGTAGTGGATGATGCCATGGTGCGTGAAGAACATGTGCAGATCTTCACTCAGGGTTCGTCGGCTTTGAGCATGGCGAACATCCGGTGGTACCGCTTGAGAAGCACATGTAGTGCAGTAGCTCACTGGGCGGACGTTCAGTGCTTGTCGTTGGAGCACTGGGCAGTCCGGGTTGTGGTGCCAGACACGGCCTCGTGAGGCCATGAAGACTTCATCTCTCATTGGACAGGTCCGTGCGTGTTCCACCATTTCTCGCCAGCATCTCTGGAGAAGACCCTTGGCGTCCAACAGTGTCTCACGATAGTGAGATTCAGCTGCTATGCGGCGATCTGCTTCCTCCTGGGGCGTGAGTGGAGGACCTCTTTGGTGGTGTCGTTGTTGCAACTCTTGTAGTTCCGAGCGGGCCTGGTCCAGTTCTTGAAGGACGAGCTCGTTGGCTATGCGTTGTTCACGCGCAGCCTTTTGATTCTCAATGGCACGTTGCCGGTAGAGAATCATGGAATCCAGAGCTTCATCTCGGAGTTTCACTGCCTCGATGGGCGTGTTCCGCCTCCGCGTGAGCCAGTGGCCCAAAAGGCAGCTTGCTGCAGCAACAAAAACCATGACCAACCACCAGAGCCATCCAGGTCCTAGTGGCTTCTCATCACCACTGGCGGCGCGTGCCGGCGAGAGGGCCGACATCAGCAGCAGCGCAAAAAGCGCACGTCCATGGCTGGGAGGCATGCTACCTACAGCGGATCCGGCTACTTCAATCTCTTTGAGATTGGCAGACTGGGGAACCTCGAGTAGTGGTGGCTCCTGCTCCAGGGACGTGTGCTCGTCCATTGTGGCTTGTAGTGGAACTTGGTGTTGTGTTTGTGAGTTGTAGGTGGTTGTGTCATGTTGTCCTGTGGTTGTGAACTCGTTTCGACTGTTCCATCGGCTTTCTAGCGGCTTCTTCTTTGCCGCTGTGTATGTTGGATCCCAAGTGTACTTGATGGATCCGTGTCTGAGTCTGTCGGCCAGGAGCTGCCTTGCTGACAGCTTTGTCAGTCCGTCGCCGTACTGGCGTTCAGAGCTGACCCATTTGAGTCTTCCGCCAAAACTCTCAACTTGTTGGCGGGTCACTTTCACTTCCAGGGCTGTGCGCTTGTCGTTGGAGCCGTGGTTGAAGGCATCTCTATGGTAAGTGTCATACAGAGCTTTAGCATCTGTAATCAGCACTGGTTGAAGTGAGCTCTCTGTCAGGGCCAGGTTGGATTTCAACTAAGCTGAGGATTGAACAGCTCATTCCAAAAACGAACAATGAACTCGACATTGTCTGCAGCAGCACCTGAGGCTTGGGCCTCAGCAGCCAGGGAACTTCTGGCGACCCTTGGGAGCTTCATGGACTTCCAGTCCAAAACATGGTATGGTGTCTCTACACCTTCAAAGGCCTCCTTGTGAGTCAGGAGACAGATGAAACCGCCTTGGCTGCTACCATCATGTCTGACTCCGTGGGCTGCGTCGAACATGCAGCTGAGTCGGAGGTCTTGGATTGCGCCAAGGGGTGGATAGCGCAGGGTCACATCGCTGTTGTCCTTGGCAAATTTTAAGAGCTTGTTTGCTTCAAAAAGTGGTGCTGCCAGACCGGTGCTCAGTTCGCCTGAAAGGATTGAGGTACTGGCCAAAAGGTGTGAGCTCGACTGAACTGCTGGCCATTGGAGGCTGCCCAAGAGACCTCTGAGCAAGCTCTGCTCTTTTGGGGTCATTGGTGAGTGAGTTTGGCGGCCTTTCTCAATGGTCAAGGGCTTGACCTTTCCAAAGAACTTCTGGTGGCTCACAGTCCAAGTGCCGTCCGTCGACCGAGACATGTCCGCACCACAGTATTCAAAAGACTCATCTTGCTGCCAGGTGCGGAAATTGAACATCTTCTTGATTTCGGTCTCCACGCGGCAGTAGACAGCTGAGTTTTTGTCACCGCCACCCAACATGTCATCGACATGTAAACAAAGAAGTCCCACCAACTTTGGTGTGGAGGCATCACCGTCTTGCGGCTCAAACAATCTCCAAAAACAGGGGTCAAGGGAGTGCTGTTCCCAGCCGAGCTGCTTAAGGCGTGAGCTGGCTTCCAAAAACCATCGACGAGGTGCGTTTAGTTGCCCGTACACTGGTTTGTGGAGTTGGAGTCTGCGCCCAACAATGCCAGTGCATCGGACGGCAACTTCACCCATAACTTCCGTTCTTGTGGAAGGCCTTGCAAAAAGGCAGTTGAAACATCGGCTGACCATCCAGTCCAACCGAGGCAGCTGCTCAAACTCAAAAACAAATTTCTGCCGAGGCGAGTGGATGCAGGTGAGGAGGTTTCGAGTGAACCTGCCAATGCATCAACGTCAGCGTATCCCCTCACCACCAGACGAGCTTTTGCTCGGGGACTGCCGTCGGCATTCTTGCTCCATTTGAGCAGCATTCTGCTTGTGAGTGTCCTTTCGGGTGTGGCTTCCTTGGTGGTCTGAAAGCTCCACACTCCGTTTTCAAAAAAAGAAGACAGCTCCTTTTGCTTGGCCTGTTGGAAAAGCAGGCGATGTTCCAGGGACAGTTCACGCTCCCGGATTTCGCCTTTGTTTTTCTGCATCTTCTTGTTGGCCATAGCCTTTTGCTTTCGGCCAAACTGCTTAGCTGACTGGGTGTCATGGGTAGTCATGCCCATCTCCTTACGAGTGTCTCCGTTGATCTGGAAGATTGTGACACCAGTCCATGCTTTTCTGGTTGGGGTACCAGCTCCATTTTGCCAAACATCAGATTCCTGTTTGAGCTCTTGGCCTGTCTTGCGCACAGTGATGCGGATGGAGTCCAGCTTTTGCAGGGAGACTGGAAGGTGTTGGAGCTCTCTTTTGTTGAGCT